AATGGCCATCTTCCATTTCCTAAATATGTTTTAGGGCATGATTTCAGGAGAGAAATATCTAGTCACATGCAAGGGTAGAAAGATAGTTTGAGGACAAGGCTTGAGGAGAAGAGACAACTGATCCCTTTGGTTGCTAAAGAAAGCCACTTCATTCTTCAGGCCTGGACTGCAAGACAGACGCCTGGACCAAAAAAATGAAATAAGGATGTAGTAATGAAGAGAGATTAACTATCATGGCACCCCAAGTTAAAATTCCAATCTCAGAGACAATGCGATGCTCCAAGCAGAGCTGGCTCATTATCTTGGCTAGCACCATTTCAATCATCTGTATGAAGTGTTTGCCTGTATTCTTGTTCACCATCACAACTGCCAAAGTTACAGATCCAGTTGCTCTGTGCCACTCAAGAAACAAAAGGGACTCCAGTGAATTAGCCTGTTAAAACATGAGTGGTGGTGATTTATGGTTGGGGAAACCTGTGCTAAAAGGGAGCCATTAACTAACTTCCTCTGTCTTTTCAAAATCCTCACATCCATTTTCCCAGTCCATTCAGAAATTCCCCTCTACTTCAGAGGAAGTAACTATAAGGAGTAAGTGATAAGGGATAGATTTTACAAAATGTATTGGAACCATGACACCCATAGATCACAGGACACACTCTTAGACTAACATGCTTCTTGAAGAAATCACTGGATGACCTTATGACAGTCACTCTCAAACAATCTAACACAGGACACACTCTTAGACTAACATGCTTCCTGAAGAACCACTCATCGATCTACTGAAAATATTTCCACAAAGAGGAAGAATTTTCTTTAATTTTCCAAGTTTTTCTCCTCAGCTCTAAATTTCAGTTTGGAAATCTTAAATCTCCTTTGGAAATCACAACAAAAAGGACATGTGGGGGCCCCTTAAAGAAAGCATTTTTAAAAAATTATAACTTGTTAGTAGTATAGCTGTCACAAGGCCCTTCCTTTCTTCTTTAGTTATGTTGAAACAGACTAACAGTGTCATCCAAACTCAAAGACTGGCCAGCTGTAGTGGATTTAAAATGGTTAAAAACCACCTGCATGCATGGCACAGCTGGATCTGCTGAGGAGTTCGATTATGCCAGATCCAAACTCTTCTCAGCTCGGACTCAACAGTCACTATATGGAAGTCCTAAATAATTTCCAGTGTATCTACGATGGGAGGTATTTGGATTCAGCACAGTCTCAAATGGCTTAGTGTCAGCTCGGCTCTTGGCTAGTTAAGACTGTGCCCTAAAACGGCTCCATCCTTGAAACTCCTCTGAAGCTATCAAGCCATCACCTAGAAAGCTAGAAACTCAGTTATTTTGATGAATGCCAGAAGTTAATCAAAGGACATTACAGACGGCTCTAGAGTGCATTTTCCAAAGGTTGCAATTATTTTTCTTTTTAAAAAGAAAGAGGGAAATAATTGCAGGTGACCAGAGGAAAAAAACATTGGGACAGTATCTTCTGCCAAACTTCTGCTTCTGAGGGTATGGAGACAGGCAAGTGTAGCTCTCATCTTCATCAGCGTTGCCGGTACAGCTACTATACCCTTGCTGTTACATTTCTGTAGTTCTCATTTGCACCTGTTTACACAGTTTATATCAGCACTCATCTTATTGTTCCCATGGGGTAGCTAGTACTATACAATGAGGATGGAAAAGACAGGGACAGTAACTCATTAGGCACATATTTATCAATTAAATTTAGCAAAAAGAGTTCCCTTCCCTAAAATGCTCCACATTTTCTAAAAAAATGCTTTGTAGCTATTCTATATTAGGCCTTCAGGGCAATTTACAAAGAGGCAACCAATACGGTGTAGAGATCAGAGCACTGGATTGTGATTTGAGCTGTGAAATCACTGGATGACCTTACGACAGTCACTCTCAAACAATCTAAAATACTTCACAGGCTAACTGTTAGGGCAAAGCGGAGAGGACCATGTAAAGCAAAGTGTGCTGCTTAAAGCACTCTCTGGATGGTTTGCAGCGTAAATATGCAAACAACACTTTGCCCTCCAATAAGCTGGGTACTCGTTACCAACCTCGGAAGGATGGAAGGCCGAGTCATGGCTACACAAATCCATTGGAATCAATGTACTCTCTAATTTTCAAGCCTGCTGGATGGGGCTCCACCTCTCTCATGCACAACTTCACCCCTGCATGTGTGTGCAACTCAGCTCCCCCATGTGCAGGGTTCAGTTGCAACCAAAACCAAAGAGGTTGAATATGATCATTGCACAGAGGAGGAAGAAAGCTGTATGGAAGGAGGCAGAGTCACGCATGTGCATGGCTTAGAGGGAATCTTGATTTAACTAGGGTTATGATCAGCGACTTGACATCAGTACTGCAGTTCAACCACTGCACCACAAGGCTTCTTGCACAATGTCCTGAGCTCATAGAAGGAGAGGGATAATATAAATGTAACTAATAAATAACTAATAAACAATGATAATTTATCAGTCCAAGCCTGAGAATTTCCCACGGCCCAATTTTCATAAATGGTTGCTTTCTCCAGCCCTAACTCAAAAATTCAAGATACTTTCTGAGATCCTATTACTTCCATTCTCATTAAAAATATAGCTTTTTAAAGTGATTACACCACATATTATCACTAACTGATGTCCTATCCACTCTTTTTTTGTTTTACTGTTACACATTGTAAAATAATTGCTTAAGTGTACTTTCATTATTGTCACTGTATGGCTGCTATATGAAGAAAGGCATCAGGGTACACAATAATATAATAATTGTCTGCCGTCAAGTCAATTCTGACTTATGGCAATCCTTTTCAGGGTTTTCTAAATAGAGACTACTCAGAAGTGCTTTACTACTCCCTTCCTCTGGGGGCATCATTGGGCAGCTTGCCCAAGACCACAGAGGATGGCTTTTCTAAGATGCCCAGTGGGGAACAGAACTCCCAACTGCTCTGCAGCCAGAAATCTAACTAACTAAGCTATCCTTTTTCAGTAACTACAACAATTCTCAGGTCCCCTAAGGTTCAGACTGAAATATCAAGATGAAGAGCTCAGGGATGGAACTTAGTGGTATCTGTGGGCTTCTGTTTTTACGAGGTATCTCAAACTTCTAACCTCTAACCAAGTTCAAGATTACAGTACAACTCTCTTCTGTATATTCTCACTTCCTAAAACATTTTTGCATTCTCTGATCATTATTCATTACACAATATTTGGGGTTATCTCAATCACATGTTGCTATTAAGAAAATTTATCAGTGCTCCTTTCTCTAGTTCATCTATTCAAGATTCTCCTTTTTTGTTGTTATGTGCTGTCATGTTGTCTCTGACTGATGGTGATCCTTTGAACGAACTGTCTTCAAAATGTCCTGTCCTTAACTGCCCTGCTCAACTCTTGCAAACTCAAGTGTGTGGCTTCCTTTTCTTATATTTGGTCTTCTTTTTCTGCTATCTTCAACTTTATTTGTCACTTCTTATAAACTCAAGTCTGTGGCTTCCTTTTCTTATATTTGGTTTTCTTTTTCTGCCATCTTCAACTTTTCCCAACTTTATTTGTCACCATGAGAATCCTGTCTTCTCATGATGTGCCCAAAGTAGGATGGCCTCAGTTTCAGCATTTTTGCCTCCAGAGATGGTTCAGGCTTGATTTGATGTACAACTCACTTGTTCATGTTTTTGGCAGCCCAGGGTATCCACAAAGCTCTCCTTCACTATCAGACTTCAAAGGAATCAATTTTTCCCTTGGCAGCCCAGAGTATCCACAAAGCTCTCTTTCACTATCAGATTTCAAAAGAATAAATTTTTCCAGTCAGATTTCTTTACTGTCCAGCTTTCACACTCATACATGCTGATCGGAAATGCAATGTGGATGATCTTGGCCTTGGTCTCCAGTGACAAACCCTTACACTTGATAATCTTTCCAAACTGTTTAATTGCTGAGACCACAATTTGTTTTAATTGTGAGAATCCCTTTTCAAATTGCCCCTTCTCCTAAGGTTTGAGATGTTCAGGTTCATAATGGTTTCACCTCTCAGCTGAGAAGCCTTTTTGTAAAAAAAGACAGCATTTATATGCTTAAAGGCACAATCCTCATCATATAACAGATATTATATAGTGACAAAGATTGAGTTATGAATTAGAGACTCCCATTTTTTAAAAAAATTACCTGTGGCAGAAAAATAAGCCAGTACAGACCACAACAAATCTTTAAAATTTTCCAGATGCCAGAATAGTCTTTGTTACTACTTTGGGTAATCTAACACAGCAATCGCTGTGAAAATTAATGCATAAGAAGGTTCATACAGCGAGGCTGCCAATACAATGTAAGCAAAATACTTAGAGTACACTAAACCACTAGCAATTACCAGATGCATTAACTGATGAATAAAGCTGGTGCATTCTGAAGTATCCAGTTCAGCCCTCTGTGACTGAACTATGAACCAGGAAGTCTCCCAAAATTTTCTATCTATCATGAACTTCAATCAAGCTATTCTCCTACTCCTACCTAACCCGTATTTACTCCATTTTCTCTACACTCAAATATGTATGCACCTGCCAAGGGCAAACAAAGCTTTAGACATAACACGAAGCCCATGGAAGCTTATGAGATAATACTATCGTACAGTATGTGAAACCAGCCTTTAGGGTACTACAATACTGCTGTTTTAGGTCTGACCCTATTCCCAACAACAATAATATAATAAACAGATGCAGTACAGTGATGAGGAAGCCCAGAATGTTAGGGTAGAAAATCATAGAAGAGATAAACCCTTTTTCCTATTCCCCCCTCAGCCTCACATCTGCAACACTAGGCAGCTGTAAAGATTCCTAAACTAGTGAACGTAACTAGCGTTAGGCAATCTTAATAATTATTTGACAACAAAATATCTGGTTTTGTTGCTCATTAATAAGAACAATAACGATTCATATTTTAGGGTTTGCAAAGTTGCCTTAGCAACCCCTCATCCTCCTGGGCAAAACTAAGTTACACCCACTGCTGGACAATTAATTACCTGGCGGGTCAGCAGTTCCCCTATCAGGCGCCCGTCTCCAGCGTCAAGAAGATCCAAGCGAAAAAAAGCGGAAGTCCTGGGAAGCGAACCGGACACTACTTCCGGTCACATGATCTGAGCCCGAGCGGACAATGAACGGACAGACAACCACCCCTTTTCTTCCGCGCCCCTTTTACCTCTGCTTTTAACTTTGGAAGGGGGGGGGAAGGAGGCGGAGCCAGAGACCAATCTCCGGAGTTGAGTGGGCAGAGCGCGGGAAATAGAAGAAGAAAACGAATTGGCCGACGGAGGAACGGGAGGGAAAGGGTAAAGCGTCCATTGGTTGAAAGGAAACCGGTTAAGTATGTTCTTCTTATTGGCTAGGTCGGGCAAGAGGGGTGGGTTTAGAACGTGAGACGGTACAATCGTGTATCAGGAAGGACGAGTGCGAGAGGCACTCATTGGTCACGGTGACAGGCAAGGCGGCCCAGTGATTGGTTAAGCAGAGAGGAGGAAAAGCCAATAGGAACTCGAAGGGCATCAACCATTGGCAGAAGGGAGAATGGGAGAGCGGGAATTCAGTAGCGGAAAGAAAGAGCATCTGTTTTTAGTCCTTGCGCAAAGGGGAAGCCTGACAGCTGGTTTGAAGGGCAAAGAGCGGGAGACGGCTGAAACCTGTGCAGATGGGAATTATAATACAGTATAAGTACTGCAAAACTGGAAGGGACCCTATGGATCATCAGGTCTAGCCCCTGCCAAGGAGGCACAATGGGAAGTTGAACTCCCAACCTCTGGCTCGGCAGCCAGAGACCTCTCTAAAGCACTGAGCTAGAAGGATGGTTAAAAAAGGTTAGAAAGGACGACAGCGGGCACGATTCTGTTTGTCTATGTAAATGAAAAAAAAAATACGGTGTCTTGAGGATGCTAGTCGTTCATCTGGAAGTCCTGCGCGCGTGCACAAACACATGCATATTTTTTTTTAATAAAATGGGCACACTGTTGTTTCGGAAAAGTTAAAAGTCCTTTCGCCTTTGAAGCGGCATTATGCTTAAAATAAGGATGGTGCCGTTACTTGAAGTCCTCTCTGTTTTGGAGTATGGCTCCCTTTTGAACGCTCCTGGAATCGCCTGCCTGCCCTACGTTAATATGTTATATTCAGATAGTAGGAAACGGGAGGGTAGTTTTGGCTCCCTGACTTTGGAGTGTTTTACTTCTCATTTGGGGACTGTGAGGATTCAGATGGTACTGGACTCCATTTCCTATTACTGTACTTCCAGCCTGGCCATTAGTGAGATTCTTGGAGTTGTAGTTCAGCAACGTCCAGAGGGCTGCAGGTTTCCCATCTTTGTTTTAACCGTTGATGTAACATGACTTTTGTATCTACTGCAAATGAAGAAAACCATTTCTGTTTAAGCTTGGTTAAATTGTCCAATGAACTGTTTCCTGGAGGGGGTCATTTAAGTGTACTTTTATTTGTTGGTTGTTTTGAGCACTTTGGGAAAACAGCAAAGCTTTTTAAAATGTAAATATTCTCAGAAAGTTTTGCCAACTCTCTGGATGTCACATATAAAAACAGTGTTAGACATTTGGTCAATCGATACTTTAAAAAACACACACGCAAAGCCTATGATATGTGCACAGTCTGAAATCCAGCTGTGGTACTCATGAATGCATAAACCAGAATTTTCAACTGGGTGACAATGAACTTCCTCTGGAGCAACCCTGTTGCTCTGTCACAGTAAAAATAATAGCACTGTATTAAAAACTAGTAAATATTAAAATGGCACAGCTTTTCACAATGTTCACCTTATCAGATATATGAAGAGTTACTTCGGTAGGAAAATTTATATGTTATTAATAATATATTTACCAGTGTATATGCTAGTTGGAGAATTCAGTGGTTTAGGTCTCTGGCTGTGGAGCCAGAGGTTGGAAGTTTGATTCCCCACTGCCTCCTGTGAGTACAGTGTGGCCTTATGCAAACTGCACAGTCCCAGGGAGCCCCTAGAAGAAGGGAATGGTAAACCACTTCTGAGTGTTCTGTATCTGGAACACCCTGAAAAGGTTAATCATAAGTCAGAACTGATTTGACGGGTACATTCTTCTTCTTCTTCTTCTTCTTCTTCTTCTTCTTCTTCTTCTTCTTCTTCTTCTTCTTCTTCTTCTTCTTCTTCTTATTATTATTATTATTATTATCATTATTGCTTACTTTAAAAATCCCTCTGTAATATACCAATAAAATCACAATTCTGTGACAAGTTGGTTGAGCAAGCAAGTTTTCCATAGGTGCCCCAAACCATCTGGAACATTAGGAGATTAGGGTAGTCTTTTGTATCTTGGTCATGAGTTCAGAGCTATGTTTTAAAAAGTACCTAAATATGCCAAAACCTTAAGCATCACCTGCTAATACTGTATATAGGTAGCTGATGGGAGTTTCTAAGCAAAAGTGCAGTATATTGGCTCTTTTCACCCAACTGCCTGTTGCATTCTGTACCAACTGCAGCCTGTGGATTAAATCTCTGTGGTGGGCCCACATTACAGCATATTGGAGTAGTCCTGTCTTAAGGTTAAAAGTGCATTGATCACAGTGGTCAAACTGTCTCTGTCCAGGAATGGCTATAATTGCCTTAGCAAAACTCAGGTCAAAGTAATATCCTGTGGCAACCTGTGTTCAATGAGCACTCTTTCAGTGCTGTAGCTCATCGGTTTCTGTATATGCTACTGTAACTCAGAAAAATGGTGCCTCTGATATGGATCCCACAAAGTCTCAGCAGGAAGACTGCAAAGATACTACTGTATGGGTTATGTCAAAAATAAGGCTTTTTATAAATATTTGCCATGTCTGAAGAAGTGGGCTTGTTCTTGAAAGCTCACATTAAAATATAGCAGTTAGTTGGATGTGAGGGCAATCTCTCTGTGACATCTGGCACCCTATTGATCACCAGGGTTGATTCGGCTGGCTGGGTGGGTGTCCCGTTCCACCCTCACCGCTCCATGTGCATCCCTGCGCACTCGGTAGAAGAGTTTGACCACCCCAAATAGAAAGAGTGTACCATTCTTTGGTCACTCCAGTTAGCCTTTAAGGTGCCATAACACTTTGTTTTTACTTTTTTTTAATTTTTGTTTTGTTTTTGTCAAAAATAAGGTGAGAGGTCCAGTAAGAGCAATAGGATAATGTTCTGCCCATCTCTCCTTGAGTAAAAATCAGCAGGTGGTCCAAGGCTAATTCAGTCCCAGATCAAGTTCTGAAGCCACACTGAAATGGGTCTGCATGTCAATATCATATGCTAATGGAAGCCATTGTTCTGACATGACGCTATTGTGAATCTTCTCCAAAAGGAAGTATATGGGACTGGGTGGTTGAGATTCAGTATTATACTGTCCATGCATCACTATGTAAATATGAGGCTTAAATTGTAACAGTACATTGAGTGGAAAATGAAGTGCAAAAAATACAGGTAGTAGCAAATGGTAATGCAATAAATATATTACAATATTACTACAGTCCTTTTGTCCTTCCACCCACCCTACAAACTACCAACTGAGGTAATGCTTCATGCATCTGATGAAGCAAAAATGCCTGTGAAACTTTATACCATAATAAAATGTATTATTCTTTAACATGTAACAAGTCCCTTTGTCAATTTAACTAAGTATCCTCTTCTTTTGTATCAGTCATGGATATACATGTGCATACAGTGGTACCCCACACCATGACGATAATCCATTCCCCTGAAATCGCTGTTAAGCGAAAACATCTTCCAGCGAAAACAGTTTCCCCATTGGAATGCAGTTTCCCCATTTAATGCGTTCCAATGGAGAAATTACCTTGTCGTCCAGTGAAGATCGCCCATAGGGGAAGCCATTTTCCGAGCACCAGTCAGCTGTTAAAATGGCTGCCCCGCGAAGCATGGGTCCAGAAAACACAGGGCAGCCATTTTGCAGAGCTGGAAAACATCGTCGTATTGTGAACAAACGGTTCACGAAGCATGGACCTAATCATCGTCAAATGAAAATCCCCCACAGGAAACATCACTTTGCGATCGCAAAAAAGTCACCTACCTGCAGATTTGTTGTACAGTGGGGTCATTGTCTAGCGAGGTACCACTGTATATGCATATACACACACACAGATAGCATTTCTGTCAAACAAGTTACTGGGGGTTTTTTTCATGAATTTTTCCACGCATGCCCTTTTCTTAAATGACAAATGGTAATCATGTTTGATCAATTTTGTAAGAAATAAAGAAAAAAAATTAAATTTACACTTGACTTAACTTTTGAGAGTTTTCTGTCCTCAATTTATTCCTTGTACTGTATATCTATGTGGGATTTTTTTTAATCAAAGTCTTGATATCTAGACATGTTGTGGTAGGAAAACAGTGCCATTTTGCGATCGCAAAAAAGTCACCTACCTGCAGATTCGTCGTATAGCGGGGTCATTGTATAGCGAGATACCACTGTATATGCATATGAGCACACACAGATAGCATTTATGTCAAACAAGTTACTGGGGGTTTTTTCATGAATTTTTCCATGCATGCCCTTTTCTTAAATGACAAATGTAAGAAATAAAGAAAAACAATTAAATTTACACTTGACTTAACTTTTGAGAGTTTTCTGTCCTCAATTTATTCCTTGTACTGTATATCTATGTGGGATTTTTTTTAATCAAAGTCTTGATATCTAGACATGTTGTGGTAGGAAAACAGTGCTGCTTTGGATGCTGTAGTAGTTAGAGCAGTGGTGAATTTGAACTTGGGACACCTGGCCTCAAACCCCTAACTGGACGTGAAACTCACCGAATGATCTTGGGCCATTTGGACATTCTCAGCCTGGTCTACCTGGCAGAGCTGTTGTGGGGAGAGTCATGTATAGCGCCTTGAGCTCATTGGAGGAAAGGGGAAATGTACATGCAACAACTAAAATATAATGTAGTCAATTCCTCATACGTGGAAATATAGTGTGATATAACACTTTAGTTAAGGAGAATTCAAGAAAGGTGATACTATCATTAAATCTAGTTATTCATGCATCTGAAGCCCTTTGAATCGTGTTTGTTTTGCTTTTTACATGTTGTTTCTCTCATCTTTATTTCCAGCAATCGCCTTTTGCCTTTTTCTGTTTGTTAAATGTTACCAGTCTTCTGAGGAAGATGTGATGTTGTAAATTAACACTGCTTTAGAAAAACGAATACAATGGAACATGTGGGCTGCAGCTGAATTGCTTATCTTGAATCCATGACACTGATCCAAGCAACAAACCATGTACTGTAGCTGACTCTTTATAACTGCAGCGTGATTGCTGACTGGAGAAGAAGTGCAGGTTCTCAGCAACTTGACTTAGTAGTTTGAGTACTGAATATTATTTCCTGGTACAACAGAATCAGTTACTGGAGAAAAGCTCTATAGAGACTGCTCAAGTTTTCATTCCATGAAATCCATTAAATGAAATTTGCTAGGAAAGTTTTAGAAAAATGCCAGAAGCTTCGGGATTCTCAGATAGTCAAACACTGGCACCACAAAGGCTGCTTTGAACATTCAGTTTTCCAAGGGAGAAATGGAACCCTGAGGATCTAACTGTATTCTGAATGTACATTACTGGTTTTTTAAATCAGTTGAAATATATGGTTCTCTACCACTCTTCTCCTAACAGAAGACTGATGAAAATTACAGTTTGGTGGGGACAGTTTTAGAATTGTTTTCCCAGTTTCCTAAGAGGAAATGACAGTGAAACCAGTCCTATTTCCAGAGCAAGGTTTTTAGACAGTTTTATGGAATTCTGGGAGTTGTTTTAAAAAAAGTAAAACTCTCCAATTTCTGCATTCCACCCCCCTCCTCCAGACATAATTTCCAGCCATTTATATGGACAAGGAACATGGATTTCTTTTCTGGGCAAGTTGAAACACACTCTGCCCTCCACCTGACTTCTAGACTTTATGAGGACAATAAATAAGCTGGCATTTGGGCAACAACTTTGCCACCTTATTCTGTCACATCATGTGCTGACCAAAATGAGAACAAGCTGCTACATGCTTCTTAACAACTCCCTCAGAAAGGGTCAAGAAACAAGGATTTGATTAAGAGAAGGCAAAGCTAAAGCAGTTAAGACAACATGAAAACAGCCCTTGTCTCCTCAAGTAGGGTGGATGCAAGGAGCCAACCAGCTTTACTCCCTCCCGCGTAGATGGCCAAGTAGCTGGTTACTCTGGCAATAACGCCTCTTGTATATGCATAATTCCAGCTGGAAGCTGGCATGAAAAACCAGCTTCTGTGCTGACACAAGGGTGCCCATTTAAACAGACCAGACTTTTCCTGTGTACTGAGAGCAGAGTCTGGGAAAAGTGCAATGGAGAATGATGTGTGCATTGAGGGGGCCCATCCAGGCTTCCAGTGGATGCTACAAAATCACTAATTTGGTGTTAAAAATCAAGGGTGCTTGTTTCAAGAAAAACACATGATTCATAGCATGGTTCACCTGTGGGGGCCATAAAAGCGGGAAGGGAAGAAACAAACGGGTGGGGGCAATGGGTAAAAAAAACAAACAAACCCAAAAAGTCTTATGAAAACAGCATTATGAAAACAATCAATCCCAATTATACTATCTATTAAATCTCCTCAGGAACAAGATCCAAGATGTGCGAACGGAGAGCTCAGCAGAAGATGAGACCTCAGCGGTGGCAAAAACAAACTGAGGTGATTGCCAGGACAGGCAGACCACATGTGCTAGGGGGGCGGGTCCTAGCGAAGGCGTGTCTGAGCTCTAGAATATTCTGGAGACTTCTGCGCAAGTGCAGATTAACCCATTAGTGTGCATTCACAGAGACCACAAAGAAGAAACAAATTTTCCTAAAGGCCTGCCTATTTTCACTTTCAAAGAGGTACAGGATTGTACTCCTTTCGTCTCACCTCACTCTAAACATATTCAAGTGATCAGAATTTGCACCAATTATTAAGTTGTAAAAATCCAGTTCCGAAATGAAACAGACATGGCTGTACCTGATAGTAGATATAAATACGGAACAAGATTAGGTATAAATCTATTACAGAATTTGTATCATTTGGCTGCTTGCACAGTCATCCAGCTATGCTTCTTACCTCATCAGCTGTTTGAATTTAACACTTCTTAGCATATGTAAGTATACAAGACATGTGAATATCTTGTGGAATGCCTAGATGTTGTGGTGTATCCTCCATTTTCCCTCATCCTCACTTGTGCTAGATACAATTGGGGGGAGTTGCAATCCAACAAAATCTGGAGGGTTACACATTGCCCCTCACAACATACAGTAAAAATAGCTATTAAGCAACTGCAGGTTGAGGAACAAAACTTTAAACAATTAGTATAACATTGTGAACAATGACAATTGACTGTCCTTACAACCAAAGTGATGAAAGTTTTGGTGGTTCCTGGCTAGAGATGCAGGGGGAGAGGAAAATCCTAATCGGGGATCATCATGGGCCGTGACTCTACCCTCAAATGCTGTCACAGGCACTGCCAGTGCATCTGGGTTCATGCATTCATGGATAATTTGCAAAGTAAATCCCTCAGAGTTGGGGAAATATTTCTTCTTGTAGTTCTTGGCTGACAGGGTTAGAAAGAGTTGGCTGTTGGCTGCTCCCCTCCTCCATAAAACACTCTTTAAACAACTTTATTTACAAAGCTTTAATAGAGCAGAGAGGCACATGGAAAGGCATTGCTGAATACACAGGAAAAAGGGTGCAGTTGTGGGGTCAAAGGGCTTAGAAAAAGCTAAAGAGCAGCTTCCACTATACAAATTGATAAGATCTTGATTTCCAGCGTTCAGACAGAGGAATGTATCACTGTGCAGACAGGAAGAGAGGGGAGAAGAAGACTGCTTACCCTTAGACCACTGGATTTCCCCTCTAGCTTATAAATACCATGCTAGTTATTGGAACATGTGCACTTTTTCAAATTCCCTCCAACCCCCACAATATCTTCAAAACATAGGTACTTCCAAACAAGCCTTTTCTTCTGCCATCTTCCTGATTTATTCACAGAAATTACTGAAGGCTAAGACAATGATGCCTGCCATTTCTAATCCTTCTGTCTTTCTCCCTTCCCTCACCACAAGTGTCTGTACAGGTGAGAAAGGCAGAATAGTTGCACAATCTCAGAGTCTTCCATCGGGAAGTACCCCACTGTTTGAATCCCTTGAGTAAGATCATCAAAATCCAATACACCACAGGTGCAGAATTTCAGGTATAAGCAAAGCCATTAAAACCTAAGAACTGCCATTCTGGATGACATCAAAGAATAATTTATGACGGTTGTGTCCAGTTGCAGGCAATACCAGGACTGCATGGGTTCCTGACTAAAAGGTGGTGAGGGTACAAAAATCTAGCAACCCAACAGTAGCAGCAACAAACAAAAAAAACAAAACAAAATGGCACTTTCCCCTTTAAGATAAAGGTTTGTTGGTAGTGTGCATCTTGTGAGGGTACAAAAATCTAGCAACCCAACAGCAGCAGCAACAAACAAAAAAACCAAAATGGCACTTTCCCCTTTAAGACAAAGGTATGTTGGTAGTGTGCATCTTATTTTTAAGCAACATCATACTTATAGGGGTACAATTTGTCTTAAAAATAAGGTGTACAGTCTCTACGCATCATGTTTTAAAATAAAATTTTGGCTTTTGCTGCTACTGCTTTACAGCTCAAATCTTAAGTTTAAAAAGTGTTTTTTTCACCAATGGTACCATGCTGCCAAATGTCAATGGCAAAATCAATGGCAGGGACACAATAGCCGCATGTTACCATTCCTATTCTAGCCCATAAACCACATACAATGACCTAATGCCCTCACTCCTGACCATTTCACAACCAAGGCACAATAGAGACAGCTACTGCTTATCACTTGTCTCCAACCATTAGAGATAGCCTACCTCTGAACGTGGAGATTTCATTCCTAGATTCAATGCCCGACAATTTTCCTTTCATTTTCCCCACTCCATTTCTCTATACTAAATAATTCACTGAACACAAACCAAACACTGCCAAAGGGAAGACAAATTTGGAACAGAAAAGAGGATAAAAGATCAAATAGTTGTTAAAGAAATAATCCAGTTTCTTTTGGTGAAAAATGAGCGTTCTCCATCAGTAGGACAGCTCCCAAATCTATTGTTTGCCTCTCTGTGCTAGGTGGTAGTGCGGATTGGGGGTGGGGAGGAACGGTTTTCCAGGTTAACAGCGCGGGGAGGTCTCTCTTCCCAACTGGAATGACTCATTTCCATAACATGATCTGCACAAGGAGAGAAAAAATGTATTTAGGAAAAAAAAATCTTCTGCAGTATAACAAATCCACATTTTAAAAACACCCTTTATTTCAACCATCTTAAATATAAAGGTTGCTCCCAACAGAATGCTGGGAACCATATTTTGTGAAGGTGTTGACACTTTCACTTTAGTTTCATAGTTTCTGCAGTCCATTTTGAAAACAGTGTAAACACCTATGTAATCTACACTTGTAGAATTCTACACTGACTTGTCATCCTTCCCAGTCTGGACAAAAAACTTTTCCAGCCTTTATTCCCCTGTAGGTCAAATATGGGATTGTATGGATAACATACAGTACAGTAGTGATTTAGGTATCTGGCTGTGGAGCCAGAGGTTGGGAGTTGATTCCTCATTGTGCCTCCTGTGAGTAAAGTCAGCCTGTGTGGCCTTGGGCAAGGGGTACAGTCCCAGGGCACCCCCCCAGAAGAAGGGAATGGTAAAACCACTCTTAAGTGTTCTCTCAGAATTGACTTGACAGCACATAATTCTTAGCATTATTTCATGGGATTCTTGTGAGGGAACACCATAATAAAGATGATGAAACCCTTTAGAAAACTAGAAATATAACAAGCTATTAGAGCCAAAGACTAGGCCTAGCAATCTATTGCTAAGCAACCACTTGCAGATAGACATAGAGCGCCATACTTTACCTGTTAGCGGTGGGTCTCCCTGTTCCACCTCCACTGCTCTTTCTTGGTTCTGCTGCTCTTCTTGGCCTTCTCCTCCTTCAGCTCCTTCTGCTTCTTCTGATTCATTGGGGACCTCCTCTACAGATCCAGCAAAGGATACTTTCTGCCCACCTGAGAGTGAGAGACAACCAACGTCACAGAGACATACGTACTGTATCACCATGACAAGAATTCTTACAGAGCTCAGGCCTACAGGCAGCAGTAATCAATCCAGGGGATTCAGTAGGTGGACCAAAGGATTCTAATTGGGAGCTAATTCTAGACTAAAAAATAAACTAATTATAGGCTACTAAAACCTTTTGTGTTTTATAAAAAATGAAGCTATTTAAATAATTCATGCATGCATGAAAAAACCCAGAAATTGTACATTAAAGCAGTGGCTTTTGTGTCTCCATATTTTAGCATCTCACACATCAGTATATGAAAAAAGCTGGGCCCCACCATGACAGAAGTATAAAGTCCACTCTTTCTGAGAGGGACATTCATATATTTACAGTATATGTAATATATTAGTATACTTTATCAGTTACATTATATTTGGATTTTATCTTGGATGCACACTGCAATATAATGAGGGGATTCAAGTGATTTTGGGAAGTTGAGAATAAGATAATCAGAAGACAGACTCTGTTCTGAGTTTAAACTTGTAGTATGTCACCCAAGATTGAATGGTAAAAGGTGAGATGGCAGACTAGGATAAACACATCTTTTTCAGGAATTCATGGCCACACATCAGCAGAAGAGCAGATGATATGAGTGTTCATGGGTCAAAATCCACTTCCTGAGACCCATAGAATGCTCGTACGATGTCCCCTGTATTTATACATATACCCATGGGGTGGGGGCGAGCAAGCATACAAACTAAAGATGAGTGATAAACTCAGGGGATGAGGGCTGACAGGAATAAAGCCAAAACTGGGCCATTTATAAACGAGACAAAATACCAGCATCTTTAATAGAACCTAAAAGCTTGCAAATTTAAAACCCAAGAAGTGGGGTGGAGAGGATTCGAAGAATCCAGTGACAGAAGGGCATGTTCAGTACTCCCAGAAAGCAAAGTGACAGGCAGAAAAGGAAGGAAGGAATTACTAGAACATGAATGTGAGAAATGATGAGAGTGTGCTGCTTTAGAGAGAATAAGCATTTCTTTTAGGTCCTAAAAATTAGGGGAATGGATATACAATAGGTTTTCAGTGCAGATCTGACTTGTTTCTTCTAACTGCAAACTTGTGTGATTGAGCATCATAAAACAGTCAATCTGAACACAAGGTACTGAACTCTGCTTAAAAGACTCAAATTCTGCATACTTAGAGGACTCCTTTGATTTAAATAAGCATTTACACTTGTAAATTGAAAGGGAAATTTAAAATACCATTAAAAAGGTGTGTGAGGGTTTCCATAGCCTATGACATTCCAAACCTATGGGATGTGAATACTCCAGTACCTGCCAAGTGTCAGGCAAGGCCTCTTCAGCCATGGTTTCCATAACCTCAAGACTCATTGAGCTACTTGATACCAGTCACTTCCCGACCCATCAGTATTTCTGGTGGCCATTTTGCCACAACTATTCTCCCAAGTGGTTCAGTCTCTTCCTGACCCCAAGTTATTTCCACCGGCTGGTGTCCGTGTTAATTAGGGAGGCTGGTATTACTGCTGGCTTTTGAATTTGCTGATCAGCAGCACCTTCCTGGGATTTCAGAGGTTCAAAGTTGGAGATGCCAAGAGCTAAGACAGACTATATGCTTTTGATTTTGTTTGTTAAAAGACAAGGTAGGAGCTAAGCCCATGTTAAACATCTTAAAAACAACTGTCTGTATCTGCCAGTTTTGAAGTGCTTCATCCCCTACTCAAACAGTAAATCCCTCTTAAAACTTATACCATAGAACCCAAATTTACCTTTCCGTTTCTGTGATTTGGAGAGAGCTGATTCTTTGGGCTTATTTTCCAAGACTTCTCAGGAAATTGCAGCAAAGATTGGAAGGCAGGAAGTGGATGGGAAGAGAGATAGAAAGAGAAGGGGGGGAAATGAAGGCATGCTTTTTCTCAAGCTTACCCTTCCCCCGAAACAGTAAAAAAAACAAAAAACCTCCAGTTTTCTAACAAGATGTACCATTGTGCCATTTTTATTCCTTCCTCCCCTGCAACATGTGGTCAGTTCTTTTGAGCCATGTTTCTGCAGGGCCTTTTCAGTACTAAAGTTTTTTTTTTCTGATGGTCCAAGTTTAATTTTATGTCTCAGATTGCACAGGAGGGTTTGTACAGAATATGATCAGTATAACATCTTGTACTGTAGTTAAGTCTGTTTTTCATCTTTTTCTAATTAAATTAAAGAAAGTTATTCTACAGCTGACTTAGCTCCATCCCCCATGACTTGTTTTCTGTAGCCTTAATAAAAGCTTCATCTATCTTGATTATTCAAATGGTCAATTATTTTCTTAGAAACCGCTTCCTTCTGAGTGTTCTCCAAGGAAGGGCACTGAATGTCTTGCTTCTCAACCATGTAACCCAGGAATAAGGAACATGTGGCTGTCCAGATGTTGATGGAATGAAACTCCTACTACCTCTGTGAACATTGATCATACTGACTATAGCTGATGAAAATTGGAGTCCAACAACATCTAGAATGGCAGAAGTTCCAACTTGAGTTTTTTCTAAGTAACGACTAAAATGAACTGAAATTACAATAGGGTCCTGTACCTTCTATGGGAATGTACAGTTTGCCATGAGGAGTGAAAAGAACAGGAATATTGAAATTTGTTCTTCTCTGCAGCTATAAAATGCATAGGAGCTCTATTCTTTGCTTCTGCTATAGTGGAGATTGCTTTAAATATCTAATTTAATGGACACATTGCTATGACATATTTCTGGGATCAAAAGAAGCCGTTTTCTTACCAGTGCACTGCCTTAGCAAAGGTGACTTGGAAACTGAGCCCAGCTGTTTCTGTCCTTGGGAAACTGCAGAACATAACAAAGATATATGAGCAAGTAAAGGAGACAAAATCAAATTTATATTGTGGTGCTCTCTCATTCTATCTGTCTCTCTGTATTTCAAATGTAGTATTGTAGTACCAACAGCATTAAGGGAAAAAAAGACTGTTCCCAGTCATTATTGGAGGCTGAGGGTATGGTACACAAGCCTTCCATTTCTAACAACATTTGTATGAATGCCAGCTGCATTCACATGCAAAATTAGCATCCCTCTTCCTTTAAAAAAAAATTCAGATTGAAAGAAGGATCGTACAGCTAGATTTCATGAGGTTCTGAAAGCCACAAGGTCTACTTTAAAGCACCAAATTTTAGCAACCATTTCAAGTTTCAGACCTTTGCTCTGGAATAGCAAGAAAAACATAAGTACGTGGACAGAGGAGCTGTGGGTGGGAGAGAAGAATGCCTTGTATAGATGCCACCTCTCCCATCTCTGTTGGCTTCTTCCTGCTGGGGAAGAAAGCTGGTTTCCTAGGAGACTGGTAGCTCCCTGTAGTGGGGTAAGGAGCAAGAGTATGTATGTGTTGGGAGGGGAGGAACATTTACAGGTTTCTCCCTGACAGCAGAGGTGCTAAATGAAGGGAAATTTATTCAGTACACGCAGTGCACCCCCAGAGAGTGGGATCCGTGGCTAACAGCGGGAGAAGGCCCTTTAAATAGAAGTGCGTCACCACAGTAACAGCCTACCTGCTGGAGAACTACTTGACCTCAGGAATCAGTTCCCCTATCCCTCAGTACCCTTTTGAGTCGTTACCCTAAGTTTAAGTAAATGTATTTATCTATTCCATTTATTTATCTGTATTTATCTATTCCATTTATTTACTATTTGAAAATAGGGTGGGATATAAAAACAAAAACCCCAGGAATCATCGATCGATTTTCAATATATTTCTGAATTGAGTGAAATCACTGGGATGATCATGAAAAAAATTTAAAACTCCCCAACACTGTGTATAATTAATTGTAAATGGAGGTCTGGTTACCAGATTAAGAACATAATCCAGCCTTCCAGCAAGTATCTGGTTATCGGAGTCAGCCCAAAACGTTTTGCTGCCTGGGGCAGAGAATAAGATGGCACTCCCTCCCCTTCTGAGCAAATTTTTATTCAACATTGGGGATGGCATCGCGCCCTTCATTTTATCTGAAGGCAGCAGGCTAGTGCAGGAGGCCCAGGGTAGCTGGTATGGAAGATGGCATTCATCTCCAAAGCCTTGCTTTTTTTGTACCTGGCCCTGATGTGAATGCCTCACTCTTCCTCAAGGTAGGATGGTCCTGCTTGTCAGCTGGAAACAGGATGCTAGATTTAGATAGATGCAGATGGTCTTCTAATCTTTTATTTTCTTTGAATGAACGTACCGAGCTTAGAAAACTTTTTAGGCTGCAGATCCCACAGTCTCCTAGCCAGCATGACCACGCTGGGGATTTGAGAGATGATGCCCTAAAAAGTAACTTTTCCATGGCTTGTGAATACCATCTGTACCCTTTCCTACATTATTGTCTAGGATAAGAGATCAAACTGTCCTTTCTAGAAAACATTCTTCTTTTGTAGAAAACTGACGGGGTTCCTAGGAAAACTCCTATAGTGGTATATATTCCAACAGAACATGTAAGTACACTTTCATTGATTGTGGACCAAACATTTAATTTTTTTTAGATTTCAGTGCAAAATTCACATAAACTAAGAAAGTAGTTCTTTCTTTCTTTCTTTCTTTCTTTCTTTCTTTCTTTCTTTCTTTCTTTCTTTCTTTCTTTCTTTCTTTCTTTCTTTCTTTCTTTCTTTCTTTCTTTCTTTCTTTCTTTCTTTCTTCCTTCCTTCCTTCCTTCCTTCCTTCCCTCCCTCCCTCCCTCCCTCCCTCCCTTCCTTGCACCAATAACAGATTAGTCCCAAGGAGAGAGACAGAGGAATGGTCTGGAAACGGGAACATACAGCTATAATAAGCTCTTCATGCCAGATTTATCAAATGGTGCATGCACGGTAACAGCATCAAGATGCTATTCTGCAAACAGTAACACTAGATTAGTTAACAAATAAACTAATATAAAATCTCCATAGGAGCAATCTTTCTAAACTATAGAAGCTATTCTCTCATGATGACCTGTCTTTGCAATGCCAAGTTCAAGATGGAATTTTTTGCTGCCCCCTGCTGGCTTCACTGGCTCCTTCTCCATTTCTTTTGTCTGTTTGCTACTGTCATTGCTTATATCCAGACTTACACAGCCCAGGCATTTCCCTCACGGTGTCATCTGAATCCTGAGCTTCTTCTTCTTCTTCCTCTGCCTCCTCCTCTTCTTCCTCTTCCTCCTCAACATCCTCAGCATAGTCTTCATTCATCCAGTTGGATTCCAAATGGCTTTGTGCTAGGCGCTGCACAGCTATTGCATTTTAAAAAGAGAGACAAGTGGTTAGAAATATGCAGAGAAAAAATAGATCTTGAAGCTGCAGAACCTTGGCATTATTCTTTTTTTTTTTTAGCATTTTAATGATTTCTATGAAGTTTCCGACCCCAGAAAGAAAAGAAAACCTATGCAGATGGTATCTTGTGTGACCCTAGACTACAGCTCCCAGAATCACCCAGCAATATTCTCCAATCACAGCTCTAACCATTGCACCTCACTGGCTGATGCAAACAACACACCTTTAGACCTGAATTGCTGTAAGCTAAGATATCTAAGGAGTCAAGAGATAAAAGAAGCAAAGGGTAGGATTTCAATACAAATCCAAGGCAGACCTTTCAACATCACAGTAATTCATGTTTATGCACTAACCACCAACGCTGAAGAGGCTGAAACTGACCAATTCTATGAAGACTTACAACACCATCTAGAACTGACACCAAAGAAAGATGTTCTTCTCATTCTAGGGGACTGGAATGCTAAAGTATGGAGACAAGGAATAAAAAGAATAACAGGTAAGTTTGGCCTTGAAGTTCACAATGAAGCAGGGCAAAGGCTAATAGAATTTTGTCAAGAGAACAAGCTGGTCATCACAAATACTCTTTTCCAACAACACAAGAGGCGACTTTATACATGGAAATCACCAGATGGACAATACTGAAATGAGATTGATTATATTCTCTGCAGCCAAAGATGGAGAAGCTCTATAAAGTCAGCAAAAACAAAACCTGGAGCTGATTGTGGCTCTGATCATCAGCTTCTTATAGCAAAACTCGAGCTTAAACTGAAAAAAGTAGGAAAAAACCACTGGGTTAGTCAAGTATAATCTAAAACAAATCCCTTATGAATACACAGTGGAAGTGAAGAACAGATTTAAGGAACTAGACTTGGTGGACAGAGTTCCTGAGGAACTATGGATGGAGGCTCATAACATTCTACAGGAGGCAGCAACAAAAACCATCAAAAAGAAAAGGAAATGTAAGAAAGCAAAGTGGCTGTCCAACGAGGCCTTACAAATAGCAGAGAAGAGAAGGGAAACAAAATGCAAGGGAGATAGGGAAAGTTACAGAAAATTAAATGCAGACTTCCAAAGAATAGCAAGGAGAGACAAGAGGGCCTTCGTAAAGGAACAGTGCAAAGATATAGAGGAAAATAATTGAAAGGGAAAAAACAGAGATCTGTTCAAGAAAACTAGAGATATTAAAGGAACCTTTTGTGTAAAGATGGACATGATAAAGGACAAAAATGGGAGGGACCATACAGAAGCAGAAGACATCAAGAAGAGGTGTCAAGAATACACAGAGGAATTATACTAGAAATATCTAGATGTCCCAGACAAAACCAGATAGTGTGGTTGCTGACCTTAAGCTGGACCTCCTGGAGAGTGAAGTCAAGTGGGCCTTAGAAAGCATGGCTAACAACAAGGCCAGTGGAGGTGATGGCATTCCAGTTGAACTATTTAAAATCTTACACTATTTAAAATCTTACACTCAATATGCCAGCAAGTTTTGAAACCTCAGCAGTGGCCAGAGGATTGGAAAAGATCATCATACATCCCAATCCCAAAGAAGGGCAGTGCCAAAGAATGCTCCAACTACTGTACAATTGCACTCATTTTACACGCTAGCAAGGTTCTGCTCAATATCCTACAAGGTAAGCTTCAGCAGTTTGTGGACTGAGAACTCCCAGAAGTACAATCTGGAATTCAAAGGGGCAGAGGAACTAGAGACCAAATTACTAACATGTGCTGGATTATGGAGAAAGCCAGAGAGTTCCAGAAAAACATCTACTTCTGCTTCATTGACTA